TTCGTGAAGTGTCGGGATATTACTAGATATAGGGAAGTCTGGTATATATAAGAGGGTGACAACGTGACGGGACAATAATATGTGTGTAGGTAGTGAGTAATTGAACTGCAGTCAGAAGTATTGTTGAAGTTAACATTCATTGTCAAAACGTTTGTTACAGAGCGACTGTTGAAAATAAGTGTATCGGTAAAGTTATATTCAGAAAGAATAAACCAGTTTTGTTAAGTAAGGACTTGTGTCGCTGAAGTTTCGTCGGAACAAAGTTACAGAAAATTAATTAACAAACGGAGACGTAACAATTTAATAGAAATGTTTCATAATAACTTCCAGTTTACAATAAACAAAGTTAAGAATAATAGGTTTGTGTTATTGTTTGGTGGATTTTATGCAAAGCTATTTAGGTCAAAATGTTACCAGTGGGTACACATTAGTAATTATTATCTTTAATTAAAGCAAGTTTGAGGCTTTATAGTCACCATTAGCAGTAAAAGATAGGATCATGTGTGAGGCCGTAACCCTTAAAATGTCTATTTTGTGTGTAGTAATTAGTAAATCATTATTTAACTAAGCTATTAAGCTATTATTAAGCTGTATTATTCTTCATGTATGCTTTAATGTTGCACTTCACAAGATTATCTAAAAGTATTTGAAAATACTTTTTCCAAAAACACAGTGAATCCCTGTTGATTTTTAGTAAAACCTGAAAAGGTGTAATGCACATGTTACACAAGTTCTACCAGAGGCTATATGATTTTACTAACATCCACACATCATTTGCTTTTGAATATCATTTTTGTTTTATCACATTGTGTGTAAATAAGATAAGCAACCTTTTTTAAATTGTTTTATAGTTAACTTCATCAAGTTTTATCTTTTGCAGAAGATTCTCATCTTCATAACATGTATCTTGAACACTGGAAGGATTTGGATGGTAGAAGAATGGAGAGGTTTTGGGAAAATATTCTTAGCAACTCTGATGCAGACGTGCTCCAGTTGTGGAGAAAAAACAAAGGTTAAGTCAGTTTTATGGCACAAGAATAAGTAAATCTTTATGATGGTGAAATATAACTTTTAAGTTTTACAATCTTTACTTTTCAGATAACATAGTATAGAATGGAGTATTTTGCATATAAAAAAATTTTGTAATTAAATTAAGCTAATTAACTATTACCAGACATTTTGGTTTTACGTCTTCATCAAGCATTTACAGATTATAAGAATTTAAAAGATATTTTAAGTATAGAAACTGGAACTCATCTGAGATCCACAGCAGAGTCTAGATGTAGTGCTCTTGGACACTCGAAGCACTTCTCTAAGGATATAGTCAGCGGTAATAATACTAGAAGATCAGTGGTGATGTTTGAAATAATACTTCCCTATGGTTATAGTCAGCTATATGGTTATACTTGCTAATCAGTAGAGAAATTTGAAGGAATACTTCCCTGTAATTATAGTCCAAAATAACAACAATAGAAAATCGGTAGTAATGTTTTAAGTAACACTTCCCTAAGTATTGTGACTTCTCTGCCCCTTTCATTGTAATCACTTTATAGTAATTTTATGAAACATTTATTCACTTTCATGCCTATTCACACTCTGGCACTAGTGTCACCTGCCAGTAAGTCAAATCATGAAAATTAAGAATTACACCATATGGAAAAATGAAACCAAAAGAAAGTGGACAAAAATACATATTTTAGCATACAGATATCAGAAACCATCCATCGTTCATGAACACTTTGGAAACTATAGAATTACATGCGAATTTAAGAAATTGTAAAATAGGCCTAATATGTTTTTTTTTTCTTTTTTTTGGGGGGGGGATAACCAACTGCATCCGTTTCACATACAGAAATTTGCCTGCGTCAAGGCCACCAGATTTTAACAGCTACTGAAAGGGCTTGAGTCTACATGTGATTAAAACTGAAATAAGACTATGATTGTTGTCAATCTTGTTATATCAATCAAACAATAATATTAAGATTTCAGTTGAAACACAAATATTGGTACAGAAGAACAGTAGCAAGGAGATTACATTAGAGAAAAAAAATACAAATAGAATAATGGATAAGAAGTTTGCATTTGTATTGTTGAGTGTTTACATAGACAAATGGACAGACTTATAAAGTAATATGCAGAAACATCCTTTGTACAAAATTAATCTAGCTATAAAAATCCTGATAAAAAAAAACTGAAATTGGGAATAAGACATAATTAATCCTGATTCCAGAAGCCTGAAAACTCAGGGTCTTTTGAAATATAGATCTTTCATCTTTAGGGGTGCACTCGAGTTATCAGCCATCTTGAATTGATATTTATATATACACTTTGTTTCTTCCATCCCACTTGTTTTTAAAAGAAATTAAATTAATAATTAACAAAATTTTTAGAAAAGTTAATAAAAAGAATAGGATGATGGACTTTTCTGTCAAACCTCTTCAGATACCGTTATCTTTCAGTATAATTAAATCTTCTTAATCATTTGAATTTATTTATTTATTTATTCTTTTCACAAACATGAAATAATTTTTTTTTTCATTCAGAAATGTTGTGGTAACTCTGCTGCAGTAAACAAAGAAAGTTGATTACCAAGAATGGTGAAAAATATTCGTGTCTTTGATAGTAAAAACTATTTTTTGAAACTAAATTAACAACATATTTGTGTGATAAAAAAACGTCTTAGGTTATGTGGCATCAGAGCCAAAGCTGTAAGTTAAAACACTTAGATATTTTAATTTCTATTACAGAAAGAGGGTGACTATTTATCAAGTGGCTGTTTACATATTATAGAAATGTGCTGTGTAACAAAATTCATAAATGAAGTGAAATATTAAATTCATCTGGCATATAACTCAACCAATGTTATACAAGAATAAACAATAATAATTATATAAAGTACATGTCAGTAAAGTTTCTTAATCTTAAATATTTTGGAAAAAAAAATTTTTGAAAAAAAGAGCTAATTATAGATTGATATGAAGGAAGAAAAACAAATCTGAGCAACTGTTGACAAGAAAATGAGTAAGTTTTTCCATGTTCAGTAAAGCTGTTTATTTATTTAGTTACTGTAGCTGAATAGGTATTAATTAACAATGACTGTGTAAACCATAGAAAAATGAGTTTTTAAATTTACTCTTTGTGCCCTAGTTGAGTTCATTTTATGCACAGCACTGATATGGAAGCATCAGCTAGAATCAGTTTCTAAATTATTGTGTGCTACAACAAACAAACTATGAAAATAACAAATTGAACAGTCTTTAGTGTAATTAAAGATATAAAGAAAATACAATGAATAGAGTTAGGAAACTGAATTAAATGTTTGTAATTTCCTAACACTATTCATTGTATTTTTATATTAGTAATTCTACTAAAGATTGTTTATTTTGTTATTTTCATAGATTTGCTGAAGATGGAATATATGTAATTCCTAAACATTCATTAAAGATGTTTACAATTGTTGACATGGCCCTAGTATTCATTATCAGACTTTGTTTTCCACCTAATGTATCAAACAAACTGTGTTGAAAATAGAATTTGTGTACCAAGATGTGCTTTCAGTTGTCAAGTAATTACACAAAATGCAGTTGCACTTATCATTATTGGCTTTCATATGTTGATAACACTTTTTGTGGTCAGTTATATTCGGATAATGCTAATATTTGTCCTTGCAGAATTTTTAATCCAGTTTCTTTCTAATATTACTTTAATAAAAGAAACTTGGAATACTAGGTGTTTTTTCTTTGGATTTTCTGCTACTCCTTTAAACAAAAGTATGATGTTTTACAAACCTTATTACATAGCACCCAATCTGTACGTGATGACAGACACAAGCCGTATATCTGAGTGTAATTGTACTGTAAAGAGTGGTATCACTGTTTTCTGGGTACTTTATATAATTGCTCCAAAGTGATCAAGCACACTTTATTAAAAGCTGGAAAACTTTGCAGTGTTTTAAACTTCCCATTCAAGTTTTTGTTGAAAGTTAGGTCAAACTCAAGGTATTGGTTTCCAAATGTATCTCAGACAGATGGTGTTTAGACCGAGATGATTTTTAATCTGGGGTAACTAAAAAGGAGTGAAATACTTGTAAAACAATACATGCAAGTTCTTGTGTATATGTTCACAGTTGAATTCCAAGACAATACCTTTACACACATAACAGCTTGCTCTCTCACCTAAAACTCGTGTGCTTAACATGAACTGTGCTACTACATGATGATGTCATTGTGCAACAATAACCCTCCACTAGTAAGAGGGTGGCACAACCTCCTTGTGCAGTGAATCCCCTTAAGCATTTGCACTCGAAATAACTTTATGTTTTCCCTTAGCATTGTCTAGAATGGACATGTTTTTAAACTTTTTAATCAATTACTTGTGATTTATGATAGTTTAAAAACTTAAATTTCATTCAAGTGCAATTAGTTAAACATACAGAAAACAAAAGTAAGTAAAATTTTTTCCTGCTTACCCATTATGAATTATTGAGTGATGGTAACTGTGATGTGGGGGGGTATACCCTTTCACTTATATTTACCTTTCTAGTGTCCAATTATCATTCCTTTTCTCCTTTTTTATCACCTTCTTCCCTGTTGCATTACTCTCATCACTTCACATTATGTCTGAAGCACTTCATTGTGCTCCGGAGGAGGGTTTTCTGTTTGGTTGATTAGTTCTTCCTACATGTACCATCTGGTATTACATAATGGACCTTCTGGTTTATAGTTATGTTTGTTTGTTTGATTATTTCTTCCTACATGTACCATCTGGTATTACATAATGGACCCTCTGGTTTATTGTTTGATTAATTCTTCCTACATGTACCATCTGGTATTACATAACGAACCTTCTGGTTTATTGTTATGTTTCTTTGGTTGAC